ATGTAGCCAGCAATGAGGCGAGAACACGTTTCCTAAATACATTGTGAGGCAGTCTCGGGTGAAACGGCTGCGGGACTGGGCGAACTAGGGGGGCTGTCTCGGGCTCCCCGTCACCCCTGCGGGAGTGCTCTGTGGCCCTTTCTGCCATTATGGAAAACTATCAGGGGCAACAACCGGCGTAACCATAGACGTTCGGGGGTCGTCCCGGATTTCTTGGGTCGACGCTGGACCCCCCATCTCTGGCGCGCGGAGGGTGCCAGGGGCCGCGCTGGAGGCGCCACCAGGGGAGACCAGCGCCGATCCAAGGCCGATCCGATAAATCCGCGCGAACGTCCGAAGACTTATGTTTATGCCGACATTCCCTCGTGCTACAAATAGGAACGCCAAATAAGGAACCAAGGAGCTTCTCTGGCCACGGCGAGCCTCGGCCACGACTATTATGGACTCAACGGCTTCACCACTGAAAAACCCGCACCAACAGTGTGGGACCTGAAGGCGAGGACTGGCGATCAGAGCCAGCAGAACCTGGGATGGTAGAAGGGCGCTCCACGAGACCCTCTACAGAGACCCCAGCAGAGAGGCCCCTCCGAGGCACACCAGGCCAGGGGGCCTGGCCAGGACAAAGACAAATTCGCGCGAAGGAAAATCGAGAATCTCTGAGTTCTGGCGGCCCTGCATGATGTATCGGGCGCCGCGCGTTCTCAGAGCGCTCCGGAAAGCTCTGAGAGCAGTCTGGAACGCCCAGCAACGGTTTTATCCTCGTCCCAGCCCAGTCCGAGTACAGCAATCGTGCTTCCAGGAGCGACGCCAAATAAGGAACAACGGCGCTGATCTGGCCACGGCGAGCTTCGGCCACGAAGAGGTTCCCCGACCAGGATCGGAGGATCGGCTCGAGAACCAGGGCCCCTCCTGCTCCCAGAGTGGCACTCCTGCAGCAACATCGGCTGCGAAGAAGATTGAAGGGTCGTGCCACACCTGGATCAACAACAACCGCGCAAGTACTATGCCGCCGTTTTGTTGTCCAACCATCATGTGGTGTTGGATCCTCGTGATGAAGAGACGGCGCCCCGCGTTATCCCCATCCTCATCCTCCTCCTCCTCCTCCCCCTCCCTCCTCCATCCGTGCCTCTGTCCTCCGCGTCTCTGTTTCGGTACACCGCATGCGTCCCCGCCACCACTTTCGGCACACCCCTCACACGCTTCGTGGCCCCATCGGATTTCCACCGAAGGTGCCAGTGGCGCAGCGCGCATGCGTCCCCGCAGTCCATGTCGGCACACCCCTCACACGCTTCGTGGCCCCATAGCCATGGGAACTTAACCGAAAGTGCCCATGGCGCGTCTCGTGGCCCCATGGAGAGCTCCACCGAAGGTCCCAGAGGCGCAGCCCGCATACGTCCCCGCCACTCATTTCGGCACGCCCCTCACACGCTTCCTGGCCCCATAGGGAGCTCTGCCGAAGGTCCCACTGGCGGTGCCCACAAGCCTTCCCCCCACCAATTTCGGCACACCCCGCAGGCCCCAGTGGCTGTGCCCACATGTGTCACCGCCACCAATTTTGGCACACCCCTCACACACGTTTCGTGGACCCATAGGGAGCTCCACAGATGGCCCCAGTGGGGCAGTCTACAAGCGTCCCCGCAACCCATTCCGGCACACCCCTCACACGTTTGGTGGCCCCATCGGAGCTCCACCGAAGGTCCCAGAAGCGCAGCCCGCATGTGTCCCCTCCATCCATGTCGGCACACTCCTCACACGTGTCGTGGCCCCAAAGGAACTCCGCCGAAGGTCCCAGTGGCGCAGCCCGCGTGCGTCCCCGCAACCCATTTTGATACACTCCTCACACGTTTCGTGGCCCCTCAAAGATCTCCACCGATGGCCCCAGAGGTGGTGCCCATATGCGCCACCCCTCACATGCTCCGTGGCCACATAAGGAGCTCCACCGAAGCCGATACTCAAAACTGCGTTGCTCACCACTGCATATGGTTTGGCCCTTCGCCAGGTCAGTCATGTGTTTATTGTTTCACAGGTCGGCGCGGGCCCCCGCCCACAACCCCCTCTCCCATGATCTTGGCTGCTTTTGGCGGCAGATTTCTGGCGACGGACGGGGGCCTACCCCCAATCTGCTTGCGCGACTGGTGCAAACAGGTTGCCTTAACAACCTGCCCAAAACCAAAATCCCCCCTCCCCCACCCTTCGGCCAAATATCGAAACCCAGGCAAACTATGTGCAGGAGGTCCGCGCGAACATCGTTTATGTTCACTTCATTTCTTGATTTGTTTGAGGGACTCTCGCACAATGCGACATGCAAAACCAATCTCGAAGGCCCGTCAACCGTCACCTCTGATGCAGCCGTGCAGCAGCAAATTGCAGCTATCGTGTTGAGAGGGAAGAGGAGGAGGAGGAGGAGGAGGAGGAGGAGGAGGAGGAGGAGGAGGAGGAGGAGGAGGAGGAGGAAGAGGAGAAAAGGACTACGATACCAGTATGTACAAGAACCCTCTTTGGAACCTGCCTGCTTGACGAACACTTGCGCCAATAAGCGACCGCCATGCGTGCCATGCGTCCGCCATGCGTGCCTTTCTTGATTTGGCGTCTCTTGTTTCAGGCATCGCCTCTCCCGCGCCCCCTGCGCTCAGGGTGGTCCTGCTGCAGCGCATCGGCCGAACATCGGGTCGGAGGATCGTGCCACATCCAAGCCATCTGAGACGGCGCGCGTATAAGGACTCGGAGGCTGGCGCAGACCTCGTATGTGCTCATTCGGTCGTTCCTTATTCGGGCATCGCAGGTGCATCCCCGAATTTTCAGAGGAGGGAAAAGACGGAAGCGGACCAGGCGATTCTACAACTGGCGATGCAGTTCAAAGGCCGCCATACACCTCAAGCGTGATGAATACAGGCATCACCGAGGACCATGATTAGGAGCCACCACGAACCCCGAAATAGCCGCCGAATTCCAAAAAGGAGTTGCGCGTTTTTTCTGTTTTCTGAAAACATGCACTGCTGGACGCGCAGGACGCCTACTATCTATTTTGAGCCAAACGCCACTGCTGGACGCGCAGGAAACGCCTCCCGACGAGCATCTATTTTGAACCAAACATCACCGCGGCCGTCGCCATCATCACCGCCAAGACCACAAAAGAACAAATGTTACATTCATCATCGCGCTGAAGGAACGTCAGCCTGCGTCGCCGCACATCGACTCTTTGCCACAGCCGACTGCTGCGTGCTCCCAGCAGCATTCGTCGACAGCTGTCAAAAGCAAAACCGCCGACATGGTCCTTGAAAGGGCCGCCAGGAAGGTCGAAGGGGCCGCAGAGATCGTCGGCGAATTCGCCGCCGAAATTGCCGCCGAATCGCCGCCGATATCGCCGCCGGAATTGCCGCCGAAATTGCGGCCGAACTTGCCGCCGAAATTGCCATCAAAATTGCCGCCGAAATTGCCGTCGAAATAATTGCGAACTCCGCCAAGCAAGCCACCAAAATCGCCGCCGAAATTCAGCCGCCGAAATTGTCATTGCCCTGCCCCAAGCGAAATCATCATTTTTATTAAGCACGATGGCGCCGCCGACACAGACATTGATTCACAGCCAAAGTCAATTTCGGCCTCTTTTCGGCGGCACAATCAGGAATTTCGGCGGAAATTTCGGCGGCAATTTCGGCGGCGATTTCGGCGGTCGGCGGCAATTTCGGCTGCAATTTCGGCGGCCCTGTCGACGGCTCTTTCGGCAGCCCTTTCGGCGGCAATTTCGGCGGCCCTTTCGACGGCTCTTTCGGCGGCCCGTTCGGCGGCGTTGCTCTTGCCAACTGTCGACAATGGCTGCCAGGAGCTCTGGGCACTCGGCGGCCCCAGCGGGCCCTGAGAGGGCCCTCGAAGGGCCTCGCCAGAAAGCGTCTGCGAAGTAGCTCAAGCCGCGCGTGATTGGCACACAACGTGCAGAGCGAATTCCTCCTCGCAGCGTGCAGAGCGAATTCCTCGCGTTGTGCGTCAGCACGCTCGAAGATGCGCCGGGAAACCACCGCGAGGCAGGGCGCGCCTGCACACAGAAACCATCAAGAAAAGCTCAATTTCGTTTGGACTGAATTTCGGCGCGCGCCCCTTTTCGTCTCCAAAGAAAATTCCACTACGACATGCATGTTGGTGCGGCCACGGGAACTTGCACTTGAAAGCCGTTTACTTTCCCACCCAGCGGGCGGAGCAAACGCGCACAACGCCGATGCATCGGCGATGCATCGGCGACGCATCGGCGAATCGAAAACAGCGGGCTCCGGATACAGCCACACCGCTAGTGCATCGGCGGTGCAGCGCCCTCTTAAAGGGGGCCATGGGGAAACATACTAAATCTACACGCAGATTCCCACCCCACTATTTCCATATATTTTCCATACTGTCTAAGCCCCTCCGTTACCTATATTTTCCTTACTTTCATTTACATCAGCGTTTATGTGTATGTGTGTGTGGGCATGTCTCCCTCCTGACATCTTCCGGTTCGATCTCCGCCGCCGAATTATTTTTCAACAGCTTGAGGGATCCTGCGGCTTTTAGGTCCCCCTGGGAGGTTTCGAGAGAGAGGCGGAGAGGAAATCGGCGGGAACGATGAGAAACAACCCTCCTCGTCCTCGTCCACTGGGATCCGGCTTTGCGAGGAATGCCACATCGCACTGAACACACGACCCTAAACCCAATATATCGGCCAGAGTTTTCGAGCCTCATCGATCTGTAAATGTCCCTGGGCCCGAAGCCTGGGCGAACACACCCGGCGTGAAAAGCTGCAGCGCCCGGAGCTCAATTTCTTCTGGTCGCTGGCCAGAACGCGGGCGCGCCAGCTGGTGACCCCCCACAAAAAAAACTGATATCGCTATTCCCCATACCTCTCCCGGGGTGCGTTCTGACAAGAATTTCGAGGCGAATCCAGCGGAGGCGACGAAGGCCTCCCAGGAGGCGTAAAAAGAGGAAAACGAGGGAGGGCTTGCAGTATAGGTGCCTTTTCCTCCTCTGACCCGCGCCTGTGAGCCCGCTCTCGGCCAGGCGGTCAAAGAAGGCGGCCAAGGCGCCCAGCAGCGTGAGGGAGTCCCGCTGCCCGTCGCCTCCTGCCGGGGACGCAGCCCGCTCGGGCTGGGCCTCCCCGCGCCGCGGGCTGCAAGGCTGGCGCAGAGCCTGTGCGCACGCGGGTTGGTACGGTTGGGAACTCTTGCTCCACCCCCCCACTGTGGCACACCCCTCACGCGTTTCGTGGCCTCACTGGCCGTGTCAGCATGCGACTCCCTCCCCCCGTACAGCGTTTCGTGGCCCCAGAGGCAACTCCACCGAAGGCCCCAGCGGCGGTGTCCGCATGCGTTTCCCTCATCCAATATAACGTTTCGCGGCCCCATGGGGAGCTCGGCCGAAGGCCCCAGTGGCGCTGTCCGCATGCTTATCCTCCGCCCTGAACAGCGCTTCGTGCTTTTTTCCGAAGACCCCGATCGGCGGTGTCCGCAAGCGCTTCCCCCGCGCAGTACAGCGCTTCGTGGCCAGAAGCAGCTCCACCGAAGGCCTCAGTGGCGGCGTTCGCATGTGTCTCCGCCGCCCAACACAGCACTTCGTGGCCCTATCTGGAGCGCCACCGAAGGCCCCAGTGGCGTTGTTCGCATGCGTCTCCCCCACTCAGTACAGCGCTTCGTGGCCCCATTGGGAGCTCCACCAAGGGCCCCAATGGCGACGTTCGCATGACGGCCCCGTTCCTTTTCGGCACACCCCTCACATGTTTCGCGGCCCCACACGGAGAGCCACCGAAGGCCCAAATGGCTACGCCCGCATGCGTCCCCGCTCCATTCTGGTGCACCCTTTTTAACGCTTCATGCCACCAGAAGCAATCCACCGAAGGCGATACCCACAATGGCGATACTCACAACTGCATGCGGTTGCCAGGATGTTTTATCGTTTGGTCTATATGTGTCTTGTCTTCTCCCTTGTCTGTTTATTTGTTCGGGGAGGAGGATTCCTTCTCCTTTGTGGCGATTGCCCACGTACTCCTCTTGTGGCGGTTTACACAAAAATTCCTTGCGCGCTGGTTACAAAGGGTTCCTTTCATGGCGCCTTACAAAAAGGACTCCTGCGATCGAACGTTGCAACAAGGATTCTTTTGCAACGGATTGCACACAAACTCCTTCTGTCGCGAACAACAAACGGACTCCTTTTGTGGCGGGGTACAGAAATATTCATATGATCGAGGATTGAATACATGTTATTGTTGAGTTCTTTTGTTGTTTAAAAAGAAATGCGACGGATGCCAAAAAGATCCCGCTTGTCGCTGATGGTTCCAATTGGTTCTCTTACTTGTGCGAGGAGGAGGGCGCGTTCTGCGATTACCAAAAAGTCGTACTGCTGCGGGTTACATACGGATTTCCTTGATATTGCTTGCATACATCTGAATTGTTCGTGTGGTTGGCTACATAAGGACTCCTAGTGTTGCTACCTTTTTGTGGCGGATTCGGAAGGATTCCGATGGTGCAGCGGGTTACAATAGGATCCTGGTTGTGGCGGGTTTCAAGCTAATGTGTATGGCTGGTTGCAAAAAATCCTGCTGTGGCGGGTTGGAGAACTCTTGTGTGGCGCAGTGCGATCAAACACCCAGCTGCTGTGTTCAACAGGATCTTCAAAGTTTCGATTACAAAGGGTCCCTTTCGTGGCGGATTGCCGGAGGATTCCTACTGTGGCGGGTACAGCGGGATTCTCAGGGTGGCTCTGTGCAGAAACAGTCCATGCAAGCCGCCCCGTTCACCCAGTCCCTCACCCCACCCACCCACAGACGCCCCACCCACCCCACCTACAGTCGCCCCCCCTCTCCTCCCAAACTCCCCCACACCCCACCCACCCACCCACCGTCGTCCAGTCCTCTCCCGGACCCACAATCGCACCACCACCCCCCCACCTACCGTCGTCCCACCACGCCCACCCGCAATCATTTCACATCCCCCCCCAGCACAGACGCCCCAGCAGAAAGAACAGAATGTTGTCCATCAGCCGTTCCTCCCCTGATCCCCTGATCCCCTCCCCTGATCCGCTCCCTCCCTCCTCTCCTTGAGCCCCCCCTGTCGGCTCACCTGATCCCTGGGGGGTCCTTCCAGGCTCCAGCCACCGTCGTCGTTGCCGTCGTCGTTCGCGTCGCTGCGGTCGTTCGTCTGCCGTCGCGGTCGTCGTTTTCCTGTCGCTTGCCGTCCTCGTCGTCGTCGTCGTCGTCGTCGTCGCCGTTGTCGTTGTCGTCGTCGTCGTCGTCGTCGTCGTCGTCGTCGTCGTCTTCGTCGTCGTCGTCGTGCGTCTTCGTCTCCGCCGCCGTCGGTGGTCGCCCTCTTCTCTGCCAGGGCCGCGTGCCCATACGTGGGCGCGCTCGAGGCCAAATCTAGAATCCTAGGACCCCCCAGGGAGGGTATCTCCGCCTGCCGCCCCTCCTCCTCCTCCTCCTCCTCCTCCTCCTCCTCCTCCTCCTCCTCCTCCTCCCCCTCCTCCTCCTCCCCCTCCCCCTCCTCTTCCTCCTCCCCCTTCCTCCTTCCTCCTTCCTCCTTCCTCCTCCTTCCTCCTCCCTCCTCCCTCCTCCTTTCTGCTTCCTCCTTCCTGCTTCCTCCTTCCTCCTTCCCGCTTCCTGCTTCCTGCTTCCTGCTTCCTCCTCTCTTCTTCCTCCTTCCTCCTTCCTCCTTCCTCCTTCCCTCATCCTCCTTCCTCCTCCTCCTGTTCCTCCTCTTCCTCCTCCTTCCTCTCCTTCTCCTCCTCCTCCGCCTCCTCCTCCTCCTCTTCCTCCTCCTCCTCCTCCCTTCTCGCTCTCTTTCTCCCAATCTCTCTCTCACCCTCCCTCTCCTAGCCACAAACAATCGCCTGTTTCGATGGCGCTTCCGCTCCGCGTGGATCGTCGTCCCACGTTACTTTCGGCGCGGGCGGGGGGAGCGCCCCCCCGCGCGGCGCTCCCGCGAGGAACAAGGAGCACCGAAGCACGTGCAGGACCACCAGCGTCCAGACCACGGAGGGGTAGCCACCCTGCAAGGAGCGGGAGGGAGGATCGGAGGAGGGCCGAAGTCCAACGGCAACGGCTAACGGGCCCGAATTAATTCAATGAGGCACAATCCCAGTACGGTGTAATGGTCATAGCCTGTCATAGCATTCGCCCCGACGTGACTGCGAAAGCTGCGAGACGGCCACCACCGTGAGGCGCCAGACGGAGGAGGAGCAGGGGAGCAGGCACGATGACGGGGGCCAGTCGAGGCAACGGCGGTCCCTTGGCGTTCATGACCCTTCTTGGGGGCCTCCCCCTCCCGGAGGCTTCTCGTCGCCAAGGCCGGGATCGCCCCTGGGAGGGGTCCAAGGACCGGTTTTGAGCTGATTCGGGCTCGGCCGGGGGCGCCGCCGGAGGCGTGCCCGCGATGCGCAGTGGGCGGGTGGTAAGGGGGGGTGGCCTAAAGGGGGGGCGAAGAAGAGGGCCCTGAAGGGGACTTTAGGGCCCCTTTTGGGCCCCTGCTGGCTCCTGAAGGGCCCCTTTTGGGCCCAAGCAAAGCGGAGGGGAGGACCCGATGGGATCGGCAATCCACGATCAGCTTCCGGAGAAGACTCGGAGCACGGCAGTCCACATCGCCCGCTCTGCGGGCTCATCCTGCCCGTGACGCAACTACTTCAGATGCGATGCGATGCGACCACCGTTGCGGACAGCGTCCAGGCCTAGAGCAGACCAGGTGGGTGAGGCCATGGCCTCTAGGATCTGAGGCGTCTGGATTCATGCAATGCGAGACATGTAAAAAATTTGGAGGAGAGGGGGAGAAGGGAGAAAAGAAAGTCCTTGGTGTCGGCGTCGGCGCGGGTTGGGCGAGATTACGTCATTGGTCTGAATCCTGGGTGCTGGTCGACGTGAGGTCGGTGAAGTGGTGCTCGAGCGCTGTCCATGCTTCGGTGTCTTGGGCTGTTTGCGTCCATGTGATGTCGTTCGGTTGTCCTTTCAAATGGGCTTGCGTGGGCGGTCGGTGGAGGTCTGGTCTGCGTTGACCTAAGTAAGTGGTGATTTCGTCGTCCCAGCGCTCGTTTTGGCCACCGTGCTGCCTGTCCCCGCTGGCGCGGGTTGAGGACTGGGTGCCAGCGCAGCACTCGCCATGTCCACCCTCGTCCAATCGTGGTTTGCGACTCGCGATGCCATGCGCCAGACTTTCCGTTTGTGCAGCGTCTCCCAATTGTCGATGTGGTGGAGCTTCAGAGGCAGAAGGGGGTATGACAAAATGGAGGGGGAAAACATGGAGCGGAGGGGGGGAAAGGAGGAGGAGGAGGAGAAGCGGGAGAAAGAGAAGGAGAACGAGGAGGAAGGGGGGCAGGACGGAGGGAGGGAGGGAGGGCGGGGAGGGAAACGAAGTCCCCTGAGATCCAGGCGTTGTCAGTGTTCTCGCGCCAGGCGTTCGCGCCCCGTCTCGGCCACCCTGGGCCCTCGCAGGTCGATGCGGCTCGAGAGGTGCAGCATCAGTGGGCCCCGTCGTGATGTTGAACGGAAGTGTATGTTTCGCGACAGCGCATCTCAGGGCTGTGGGGAGGGCAGGGAATGAGAACGGGGGGAAGACGTGAAGAGGAGGGATGGGGGAGAATGGAGCGAGCGAGGAGTGGGGAAGTAAGGGGGAGGGCAGGAGGAGAGAGCATGAGGGAGGAGCGACGATTATATAAGCAGGGGGAAACAGGAAGGCGGGAGAGAGGTGGGCGGGATGATGGAGGCAGAAGGCGGGTGATGAGGGTTAACATCCAAAACGTGATGATGATGCTGATGCTGATGCTGATGATGATGATGATGCTGATGCTGATGCTGATGCTGATGATGATGATGATGATGATGATGATGATGATGCTGATGATGATGCTGATGATGATGCTGAGGCAGAATAGGAGGAGGAGGAGGAGGAGGAGGAGACGAGCGTAGAAAGAACGCCCTGTCTGACTGTGGAAAAGACGGACCCGCGACTCCACTCATTCCGTGTTCGCGTCGTCAAAATAGCCTCCGCGTCGGCCCGGAACATGCAGGCGCACATGGGCCGAGAATGCTGATGGCTCTTGATCCCACCGCAGTCCGAGCAGGGCTCCTCGTCCTCGAGCAGGAAACTGGCGCCAGAAGTTGTCGCACCACCCTTCCTGCGTTCAGCCGCACGTGCAGGCGGCGGAATGGCCCGCCGGGGCTCCGAGCAGCACGTGGCGATACTACTATCGGGCAGCTCGTCGCAAGCAGAAGGAGACAACTCAGGAACGCCGGAACGGAGACGACTGCGATGCCGCCGAAGGGCATATCGGCAACATATCGTTCCAATAGAATCCTGTGTGGCGCTGGTCCCCTGTGTGTAGACGACATGACGCTTCCGACCAACACTCCGAAATTAGCGCCGGGAAGAGTTGTACACCTTCTCTCCAACAGCCGGTCTGGCCAACGTCGCCGCGTGAGAAAGGTAATAGACGTTGTGCTGCAAGACCTTCCACAAGAACGCGTGCCGACGAAGAGCATAATGCTGGAGAGATGACGATACGATTGCTTCTCAAATAAGCTGCTCGAGTTCGCCTCCAGGTAGCGAACTCCAGCAGCTAAAATATTAGCCTGGCGAAGGACCAAACCAGATGCAGCTGTGAACACTGCACTTGTGGGTATCGTCTTCGGTGGAGTTCCCTGTGGGCCACGGAACGATTTACTGAGTGGGGGAGATGCGTGCGAACTTTGCCACTGGGGCCGTCGGTGGGACTCCTTACGGGCCACGAAACGCTGTACCGGGTGGGGGAGACGCATGTAGACACCGCCACTGGGGCCTTAGGTGCAGCTCCCTATGGGGTCACGAAACATTGTATTGGGCGGGGGAGACGCATGTGAACGGTTCCAGGATATCCCCATGGGAGCCTCGAAGCGCTGTGCTTGGTGGGGGAGACGCACGTGGACACCGCCACTGGGGCCTTAGGTGGAGCCCCGCACGGGGCCACAAAACGCAATGCTGGGAGGGGGAAGCGCAGGTGGACACCGCCATTGGGGCCTTAAGCGAAGTTCCCCATGGGGCCACGAACCGCTATGCTGGGTGGGGGAGACGACGGCGAAGACATGCGGAGGGCAGAGGTGGGGGAAGAGGAGGGGAGGAACGCGGGGACTGTCTTTTCAAAACGAAGACCAACACCACAGGACGGTAAGGAATTATGCGCCGTACCCATGAACCTCGCAACCGTCTAAGAAATCATATGGTAAGCGCATACATCCCAAGCAGACGTCGCAGGCATAACACATTACGGGAAGCTGAGACCGGCTTGAGAGGAACTGGCTTAAGTTAAGCCAGCATGGCTACGAATAAGGAGGAAGAGGAAAAGGAGGAAAAGGAGGCAAATACGGGACAGGGGATTAGACGATCTGTGTGTCTATGTCACGTGTTCTTGAGCATGCTGACAATGACGACGGCAATGGCGATGATGAATGTATAACCGTATGTATACATACATACATGTTTGTATACATGTATGTATGTACGCATACATGTATGCAAGTATGTATGTATGCAGGTGTGCACGCATGTATGTATGTATGCATGGCTGTTGTATGTATGTACGTATGGATATCAATGCTTGCGTGCATGTACGCATGTTATATGTATATGTGTATATGTATATAAGCAGGTCTGTATATACGTGCATGCATGTATAACAAAATGCATGTATGAATGCAAGTGTGTATGGGTATGATTGTAGACATGGGTGGGTGCATGTGCACATGCATGTGTGTGAATGTGTATGCATGTATGTATGCATGCATGTATGTGTGTGTGTTTGCGTGTACGTGAATGTATGCATGTATGCGTGTATGCAAATATGTGTATGTATACGTGTATGTATGTTTGCATGCATGCGTGCATGTCTGTTTGTATGTTTGTATGTCTGTATGCATGTATGGCTTTATGTATGTATGCATGTGTGCACGTATGGGTGTATGTGTGTATGCATACAAGATGTGTGCACGCGTTGGTATGTGTATGTCGGAGGTTGGAGGTGAGATCGAAGTGGCACGGATAATCTCCCTCCCGGGAAATCGATTTCGGTTTCGTGTTCGTGCGTGCCGTGCGTGCGGGCGAAGCGAAGCTGCGTGGGCGGGCGAGAGGAAAGTCTCCTGTGGCTGAGGCGCGGCCGGACCAAATGACTCCCTTCCGGCGTCCGGTGGCCCGCGCGGTGTCCCTCCGGTGCCCCGCTGTGGCTGAAGCGCGGCCGGACCAAATGACTCCCTTACGGCATCCGGTGGCCCGCGGTGTCCCGTCGGTGTCCCGAGGATGACAGTGATGATGATGATGGTGATGACGACGATGATGAAGAGGATGATGAGGATGGTGATGATGGTGATGTTCGCGGTGACGATGATGATGGTCATGATGGTGATGATGGTGGCGATGGTGGTGATGGTGATGATGGTGATGGTGATGGGGCCTGGACGCGCAACGCACAAAGTACGACACACTCGAACGGTTCCGCCGCCATTCCGCCAAGACGGTCCGGACTCTGGACTGCGAAGTGTTTGGGGGGTGGCGAAGTCCTGACCGCAGTACTCGCAGCGCGCGCACAATGAGTTGCAGTTCGACGCGCAGGTCTGGGACCTGGGGCAATATGCGGGCCGAGCCGCGGGTGCGTGCTTCTGGCTAGGCCTGGCAGCAGGCGAAGCGAAGCGAAGCGAAGCGAAGGCGCCGGAGTCGGGCACACTGGTGTGCCCGTGCCATTTTGGGCATGGCGCAGGAGGCCGTGGCCTCACATCTCGTGCGAATAGAAGTCGTGGACGAAATACTGCAGGAACCAGTACACAAAGAAGGCAAGGAACAATATGCGCATGAACCGCAAGAAAAAGAAGGCGTGGTAGAAAATGTTCGCGGACCAGATCAGAGTCGAATCGGTGCGGTCGGTGTCCTGGCTGCTGCTGTTGTGTTGCTGTTGGTGTCGGCGGTCGGTGGTGTTGGCGCCGGAGGTAAGAACGGTTGTTGGTGTACTTGATGTTGGGCGCTGCGCGCTCAGCAGTT